AAGAAATTTTGGACAATCAGTTTGAATGATTTCCACGCAGAAAGTTCTTTCTGATTGAGTACTGTTTCAGAATCATCATCCATGAGTATTTTCCGAATCTGTGTCCCGCCAAAGATAACTTTTTTCATTTTTGATTCACTTATTTTTGGAAACTGAAACCATTACCATCTCTGTTTATTCCTTCATGAGTCCCAGTTTAATATAAAGTGGGACAGAAACACATTTTGGGGATTCACTAAAGGTTGATATTCGATATTCTGTTTCCCTGGTATGTAATTCTCTTTCACTGGCCATTTCTTCTTTTTGAAATTATTTTTATCATCTCGGCTGACCCAGAGACATAAATGCAACAATATTTGGTATACCCACTCTGCAGGCCTAGCAGGAGTGCAATATCTTTTAGATCACCACATATGTTCGATCTATGGTGAGCATATTTGATGGTCTCGAGTATAGTCTGCATGCTTGGATAAGATTCTTTCATGTTCACAGCATGAGCAACAGGAATCGATGGTTTAGTGTTCCCATTGTGCAAAAGTACAGCTTTCAGACTAACTTTAGATGAGTCGATAAAAAGTCTCCACTATTCAGCACCTAATTCTTTCTTAGTGCATCAACATTTGTTCAGATACACAAAGTATCTTGCAAGACTTTGATGGCAACTTCAGTAAATTGAAACTCTTGTTCCTGAAGCTAACAAATTCCATTGCTGTAAACGAAATCCAAGAAGTTCCCTGTGCTGCTTTGATAGAGACAAGCCACGAATCAGATCATTTGTGTGATTAGATCAGGCAGTTTATGTTGAGGTGCCACTGGAATAGAATTACTAGATGAAGAGGATAAAGACAATTCATTGTCTTCTTCGCAGGATAACTCCTCTGTTTCCTAATTCACTGGTATTCACATGAGGTATTGGTTCCATTGCAGATGCAATATCTGGATAATTAATGTGTTGTTTAGTTTTGTCTGAATAACCAGAAACATCAGTCATGCAAAAATAACAGTCAGTTAGATGATCTTTGGGCTCATGCCATATCATGGGAACTGCAAATGGCATACTTGGTCAAATCTTATTCAGCCACTGTGTAAATCCAAATGTGCAAACTGTACAACACACATTTGAAGCCCAATGTTTTTCTTGGTCACCAATTTTACATCCACAATAGTGGTAGTATGCTACCTTTACCTTGTGTGGGATGTTTATCTTTCGTTTAACTGTAATATATTTTCCACAAATGTAGCAGAAACTTAGTGATTTTTGCACTTTTGGACTTAACTTGAACTGTAGACAGCCAGCATTTCAAATTACTTTCTAAAAAATATAAAATAATATATGTTTACAGAACTAGAGTTTAAAAGATTTTAATGAAAACGTTTTGCAGAATTTGATTTTATCGTGGGTATGATGTGAGGAAGAAAATTGGACTTTGTTTTGGCTGTGCGCGGAGCTAGGCGAAGTGACCAATTGAGTGAGTGAGAGGCAACTGAGAGAAAGGCGTCTGACTCCGCCCCTTTTATGTTCAGTCGACGGACTTCTCGAATGTTCTAGCGAACTGAGCACGTGTGGGTTTCGTGATTCCCGGTCGGAGCAGGTGAGCGTGGGAATGAAGCAAAAGTGGTGCAATTCGCTACAATTATATCGAGAAAAAATTGCATATATGAACAATATATTTGGGGTTTTACACCAATACAATACAGTAAATGTTTGAAGTTATCAAAAATGTATGCCTTTTATCCAAGTAAACTTAATTCCACAGCATAAATCTATTGTATAGAGTTGGTTGCATGGTGTTTCACAAAATGCTGATAAAATATTGAGATATTACAATAACTCGAATTCTAGAGGTGGTGAACACATTCTGGTTACATTTTTGAAATCAGCACCATTAAATCACTTGAGTTTTCTCCAGTAGCAAATTTTTTGTTGTTTTTAAAAACAAACGATGAGTGATTATCATTATTTTCAATAAGTATGAAAGAACGTGTGATTAGTACAACATACTCACTACATTTAATTGATATTCAATTGCGTACCCTTGTTTCTTTGAGAAAT